TTTAAACATACTCTTTAGAGTGAAGTTGATTAAAATCTCCATAAATAAGTTGAATTTATTTATTTAACTTCAGTTTTGAGTTGGACATCACTAATTACAATTGTGAAATCATTTAGTCAATAAGCATTTGATACTACAGCTACAATTTCAAACGGGACCGGTACCGCAGGGTTGCCGAATTTTCTATAGTCGCGTTTCATCTATTAACTTTATAAATTTTTATGTATTATTAAAATGTAATAATATTGATTTATCAATATTTAATAATATTTAACATTTTCTATCTTTGTTAAGTGATTTTTTTTAGAAATTTACTATATAAATATTATTAATATTTAATAATATTTAACATTTTCTATCTTTGTTAAGTGATTTTTTTCTACATTTTTTTAATGTTTGTTAAGTGATGTTAATCTGTACTTTTAAAAATTTATACAAATAGCTCCGTTTACCTCTAGGCGGTAAATACCTATACTGGTTGCATGAATAGTCTTATTAGTAATTGATACGATGATAGAATAAGGTTTAAGTGCACATTGTCGGATTTGGCAGCACTGTTTAATACAATGTTTTTTGTATAAGAAATTATTATTAATTACATTATTTGGGTCAACCCTAAGGAAAGTTGGTGGACTTTTGCTAACAAGAAATTATATTATAAACTAATGAGTTTATTGTAGGGAACACTTCAATCGCTTACATGTTATTAAATTACATTTACAATTACTTACATGTTATTAATTTATTAATATAAAACCATGTAATTGAACGGATTTTGTGAAGTGGGCCTATCTCACTTAATTTATTGTTTCGTACATACATTAGATACAAAGAATCAGCCTTGGTCCTTTCACAAATAAATGTAAAAATATAAAACTGCTGTCACTTGACACTTAGAAAAAATATAGATTTCTCTATTTATTGCAAATTTAATTCGGATAATTAGTTTTTTATAAGGATTAATAAATAAGTTGACGAAACGTTTACAATACAATTACTTTCTTATAACAACACAAATGTCGTTTAGAAAATAGGACCCAAAGAGGATTTTAAGAACAGCATGTGGTCAATTAAAGGATATTGGTGGTTCTTTCCAATTCGATCGGAAACAGTTGGAAATTTATTTTTTTGCTCTATGTTTTTCTTGACGCCGTATTTCCATTACATTTTTGACCTAGACGCACATTAATTGCATCACTAAATTACGACGGCCGTTGCATAGATTACGAAAGCGGCTCCGCTCCGTCCCGGGCGTGATTACGATCGCAAACAGATGATTGTCATTAAGTTCTCTATAAGTCAATTATCGATTAAAGACAACTACGAGTGTTAGCTGCAGTTACATAATTGGATTAGCCGACGGCCCGATAGGGAGTTTTAATTGAGGTGCGCGCGCGCAGCCCTGATGGACGCGCGCCGCGGGGCGCCCTCTGTCTCCAGCGCCGACACACTGCAGCGCGATGCTTAGCCTGGATACGTCCTAAGTTGTTGTTTTATGCAGTTTTTTTTTATTTCAGAAAAGCGTTTATGACAAAAATTTGTACAAGACATCGCTGCGCTATTTGCACGAAGTCGCGATAATAGCGGCATGTTTTTTTATGTGAGAAGCTGGCCGTTGTTAAGTGATAACCGCCGCCCATGCACATTTGCAACACTTGTAGGGTTCTCAGATGCGTTGCCGCCTTTTAATAAATTGGGTCCCTGCTACCTCACTAGGCAGACGAAACGCAGAAGTATATGATAATTCCACTTCACGCCAGCCTTCTTTGAGGTCGTGGTGCTTACGGACCTGCCCATTCGTGCAAGTCAATGTTCTCGACTTAAGGGTTCCTTTCTTCCCCAAAGATATTTTGGAAATTCAAAAAACTGTTTAACGATAATATGTGGAGCCCTAATTTAATTTAATAACCTACGTAGGTTTAGATATTTGCCTAAAAATTGACGCGATGTACGCACATTTTCTATTATTTGTCAACAAATTTTCATCAAACATTAACGTTTTCGCCAATTTATAAGATAAACAAGTCTTACTTGGAAAGTTTAAAAAACTGCGCGAAACATTCCTCTGGAAAGTTTACGTTTATAAACTGCACGACACGCAGACCATTCTCTATACTTACATTTAATAAAACAACTTAAGTAGCGGCGTCAAAGTAACGTCCACAGTATGAGAGTGGGCGAATGCAATCTGCGAAGCGGCGGGAGGTGTGCGCGATCGGGCTAATGATAACGGCCGATCGACAGATTATTACATTAAACTCGGATGTTTTATCATCGCCGCGGCACTTCGCACCTCCGGCGAAATTTAGTCCGACGTATCACGAACGTCTTATTGGATTCTGCGCTTTATTTGCCGTCTTTTTTTTGTAATGGGATTACCGCTCGAGACGTTCTGCCGATTCATTCCGATTGTACAATCGTGGAAAACGTACACTCGATAGTTGATGTCGCCTTGGGAACCAATTCCCGGCAATAATGCATTCCACGCTGTTTCACTGGCTGCTATCCTGGATCCTGTGAATGTAAGAGGCTACATATTTCATGTCATATTTCATTCACCAATAGAGGAAATATATTGATATTAAATGTAAAATAGACCAGAAATTGAAAAAATATGTTATTATTAAATGACTAATTTAGCTAATGCTATGTATGGTCTGTTAGTGTCCAATAGACTTATTCTTTATAGTTTAGATAAGATTTAAGAGGCCTCGTAACCTTTGGCTGCGTAGCTAATAAACACAACACTAAAACGCAGCTTAGTAGTTTAAACTATTGTTTTTTAATTTGTATTTTACTTGAAATTAGTCAAACGTTACTTAGTTCGACATAAACATTCAGTCGCTTTGCTCTCCGAACACATCGTAAGGTGTGTCGTGAGAAGTAAACTAACACGCAATGTACTGGTTGGATACTTTAGATATATTTAAATATTTTTTCATTCACTAACTCAATGATGCAGACTTAAATGAAAGTTAACTTTATTAAGTGGCATTTTTTTTATTATACATTACGACGATATTTTGGTATGACTTTAATTTTTATTATTTAAACTACAACGATCATACAAATTAAGCTAAAGAAGTTTGGATGTTCGTTTGAAAAGTTTAGTCCATTGTTGTCTTAAGAGTGAAGCGAACAAAGTATATCGTATATAAGATTTAAAAATTAAAAGCTTGCTTGAACCTGAGTTTTGGTCGGCGGGTTCGGATACAAACTTTATTCCACTTCGCTTTCGTTACTTCTGAAGTTAATTATTTCATGTACTATATTTGGCAAATTTAAATTGTACAGTTGGTTCCCTTAAGTTTAAAACTTTGGCAATTAATTTACGTTACCTAACCTCATTTATAGCACTATGATTACGTTGTATGTATAACACGAAGAAATATCTTATTTATTATATAGTAACCTTTCATTGAATTCAAATATCAAGTTATAGCTGCAAAATTATAATTAACAGATTTAATTTATTACTAAGCAAATAACATCCAATAAATGATTGATGTTTGAAGTAACTTCTAAAATGAAAACTTCGTAAGGTGTTTCGGCGCGTTTAAAAAATATGAGAGTATAATTTCAACCGACAGTCAAAAAGCGAAATGATGAAGTTGATTGCATGGCAACCAATAATACTTGACTTTTATCTATAAATCCAAGTTATTTAATTGGACCGTTATAGACCTACATTTAATTTCTTTTTCACAAACAACGAGCTGGCACAGGGGCTCAAGTATTTAGTTTTTTTTTTTCTTTTAAATATATTGTAGTCAACTACACTGCGATTTCTTTTTCTTCGTCAAAAACCATGTCAACACACAATAAATATACTAGACATTTGGTTGTACAGAGCCACTGGATTGTTTTAATTTTTTTGCTTTTGCAATTAGATAGCATTCGAATCTCAATGTATCAGTTTGTTGCATTTTTAAGTGTCAATATATTTGTCTCTATTATAGCAATTGGCTCAATAGAAGTTGGACTTGTAAGTGCAACTTCTACGAAAAGTATCTCAGTATTAAATTAAATTCCTTGGAAATGAAGATATATAATAACATAACATCATATATTTATGTGAAATCATTCTATTTCTTTAAATTTAATACCGTAATAAATAAATTACATATTTAATTGATAGTGAAGTAAACGTGAAATTAGATTAAATTATTGTTCACCGTATTGTGAAATAGCCGCCCCAAATGTACGTTAAACAAAACCCCTTGTTCTTCATAGAAGCAATGTGGGAAGAGTGCCAGATTCCCCACCTGCATGTCGTAACCGTGACCGCTGAACTTTGAATTACTTCGGTAAATCGAAAGAATTTCTTGAAATTTGTCTTCTTTTTATCGGCTGAAGTTGTGAGCGTTAGAAGAGTTCAAAAAATATTAATAATGAAATTAAATTTAAAAACATTTATGGCTTTTCTCGCATATTTATCGTACGTCCTAAATTAAACTAATTTTTACGGATATATTGCGTTTATTTTTAATTTTAATTCCCGATGTTTGAACCCTTTACAGCGTTCATACTAAAATAAAATAAAAGTAAAATTAAAAATAAACGCGATATACCGTAAAAATTATTTTCATTTATAATGTGTGATCGCGCAAATAATTATGTAATAGCGCAAGAAATTATCATATCCTACGTCCTGTTTTAATACTTGGTCACACACTAAGGCAGGCGTTTCGAGACAGAGTCGATACGCGTGCGAAACAAGCGCATCGAGCCGGGAGTGCTATCGATAGGGAATCGGATGGGCTGATTAGCCTCCGCGGTACCGAGCAGCCGTCGGAGGGCGCTGCGGGCAGACCGACAAAGGCCCACGCACGCCGTCCGCAGACAATCCGCCGGGTATCGATCCCGCGACCCTTCGAGCGGGCCCGGCCTAGCACAATGCCGCGGCGCTTTATTATAGCATCTCACATTGTTGTCATTGTTATTATTATGATTCTTTGCCGCTTTCCATTGTCGGTCGGCGTTGTGGCGGTGCTTTTTCACGGGCCGCGTTTAGTCTGGGCATCGGGGGCGACACGCTCGCACGTTTGGTCGCGGAAAACGCGGCCGCTTTTCACCGCGGGAAATTTGTCGTCGCGCGCGTCTCCGTGCGCTCTGCTGCCGTGCGCACGCAGCGCCCTGTGACGGTCGCCCCGAGTGAAACTTTGCGCTCCGATTAGGTCGTCAGCTGATCGTGACGTTATATGAGTACACAAGTACAGTCGTCGACATGTATTTCGTTTGATCCGTTTATGTGTGCATAATTTTCTCTAATGACTGTCACCGCAGTGGAATTTGATGTTACTGTTCTGTAAAACGTGGCCGAATGTAAATAGACTGGTGTTAATATAAACTGTAGCTATAAATGTGTCAAAGCTAGTGACGTTTTTGTAGCTATTTTCTTAAGTGGTAAAATGTTAATTTTAACCTTCATTGAATTTTTTTATGTGTATATCCATTGTCACTATAAATAAAATTATGTTAAGTTACTCTAGTTAGAACTTATTGGCCTTAAATAAATATCTACCACATTTAAAAATTTACTAGGTTTGTTAATGCTTCTTTCCTTCTTTTAGTGAACATTTGTATTTGATTCATTAAAGATGTAACATTGTTTTTTTGTAATCCTAAGATTTCCATTGTGTGTAGTAAAAGTATTTTTATCAATTGCAACATGGGCGCCGATAATTCGCACTAGTGTTGCACACTAAAGGGTAAACATATTTTAATACACGTACGATTTTAAATATATATTTAGATAAGACAATGTTTGACAGTACTTTCTTCAAATTTTTAATATTTGAATAACGGCGTTTAGGGAATATTAAAAAAAATTACCGAATGTATATTTTTCACAAAATCACGCTACTTAAGATCCCAATATACATCTTGGTGGTTTTGCCTGAGTAATACAATTTTCAATGTATAGTTTTCAGTTAGTTACTTACTACTAGAGTACAAGAGTGTAAAGTTTATCAGATACACACACTAAAAGGTAAACCGATTATAATTCGAATCTAAAATTGTATTGAACACTTATAATTCACGGATGTTTGAAATTTCTTTCTTCAATGTTTAAACATGTGATAATTTTTTTATTCAATATTCATGTTTATGAGCAGTAACATTTATATAATGTATGTACTTTTATAGAACAATCTTTATAAAATATAAACATTTAAAATATAAGAATTAACTGAATTGTATAATAATTCACTAAATAGTTTAGTTGTAATTTTCAAAAAGATTCTATTTTTGTTAATAATATTTATATCCCGTAAGTCTTGCACGATAAATGTTTTTTTTTTCATTAGACTGACTAAAAAATAATAAAACATATTATGTGTAAACTCGTTAAAACACTAGATATGTTTAGCAAATATTTTCAAATCACGAAGCTTCCAATCCGTGTGCAATCGGTTCTTTCTTCAACGATTCACAATTGACTCAGCGTCAGATTCATTTAATAAAGACGTTTTTGATTTAGATCGATATGTAATCTCATTCGAAGGCTTTCATCAATGCGTGTAATTGCCTGGTGTCAGAGGTCTCTGATGTTTAATACGACCCCTCTCTACTTCTTTTCATCCGATAATTGTTTGCCGATGGTTTTGATATTATTGGCAAACAAACTATTGGTGAATATTAAACGTTAATCGAGAAAATACCTGGCGCATCGGATTTTAATATTCTAGTTATCTAAGAACGTTCATGTTTCCACTCAGAGTATCCGGAGATTGACATGCTGTTAAATCTTAAAAAATGTCCTCCAAATTGTGTCAAAAAGATAAAAACAAAGTCAAGAACTGATTCTTCTTTTTTAAATGTTTGGACTCATGATTACTAATATTTACTTCAAAGAGATGTCTAATATACTTTATTTATTAATTTATTTATTCTTTCTCATGACGCTCCACTTGCAGTAGGTGGCTTAATGGGCATTTCATACTTTGTAAATTTAGCATCAGCCCATAAAATTAATTGTGCCATATAGATTATTGAACTTGGTATTTTTCAAACGTAACGAAAATATCACAAATCGGGCGCATAAAATAATTAAAAAATAGAAAATAACACAGATCAGAGTCAAATTGAAGCGGACCAAGTTGATACTTATTTATCTGTAGCAATCGAATCAATTTATATTCATCCCTATAAGATGTCAAAGTTCCTTTATCATTTATTTTAAGTGTGTCATGATTATCATGAATATACATGCATACATACTGTACTATCGCATTCCTTCCATCTAAAAAGAATTTAAATTTAATGAAATACTAAAATTAAAATTTTATAATTTCATTAAATCGGTTTCAAATTTAGTTCGATTTTCAGCCTCAACCATTAATAATAAATTATAAATCAGTTCGATGGCCTATACCCCAATTTACCAGGCGTGTCTCGAGCTACATACGCATATGCAAAGTCTGTGGCACGTAACTATTTAATTCGCTCCCAAGATAGGCCTGATGAGACGTAGACAGGCCGGAACTGGACCAACCCCCCGCCAGTCGGTGGGTCGTTACCACCCCATCGCGTAATATGCGCTAGGCCTATACGAATGACGACCATCCCGCTCTATTAAATAATACATTAGATTGTGCAACTGCTTTGTTTTATTTGTTTCTGTTCACTAACACACTTTTAAAGTTAAAGTATGTTCATTTTTAAAATGCTGATAGAGGAATAATCTATAATTTTATACAAGTCACTGTACAGATGTTCAAAAAAATCTTTTACTCTGTTACTCGTACTTGCAAAATGTAAACTGAAGATATGGATTTTACTTATAATTTATTCAGAATTTGTTAACGTTATTGACAATAAGGAGTTTATGCCTTATTAGGAAAATTAAAAGTAACTACCTAAAATAATAACAGATAGGTTGTACAATTCTGTGCAATCATATGTCTATGCCAAGTTCGATATAGGGAGGCAGGCTACCCCTTACAAGGAGAGATGATGATAGCTTGCTCTTACGTGTGCGGTCTTGTTTGTGTCCACTCGAGTCTTGTCCCGCCTAATATTAGGTTTTCATTATGATTTACTGTATCTATGATTTCCTACATGCGATGTAGAGACATGTACATTGCATCTATTCAAGTAATCACTTATGTTTGTATTAAAACTCGCTCAAAATGACATAAAAATATGTATTATGACAAATGAAAAACCCTAACCTACTGTTATACCTACCTAATAACTCGACTGTACGTTGTTAACGCTGAGAAGAAAAGCTTTCTAATTAACCTACAAAAACGAAACGAATTATAAATCAAATTTAAAGTGACTACGTTACCGTCAACAATGCACCGCGGCCATATTGCGGTGTGGCGTCACCTCAGTGTTGCCAGGCGCGATAATTATTAATTTGCAACGGCACTCGCGCCACTCGCGGCTGTCATTAGTGACACCTCGCGCCAATTAGGACGCTCGGAGTGTTTGATGCTCGCTTTTTATTTAAAACAAGCATTACACCAGCAATTATTGAATGGCTCCTGATGCGTTATGCCTGTAGTGGTTTTCAGTGACACGAAAGTGCAACGGGATTTTATTTTATAAAACGCTCCAATTATTATACTCTTAAACCATTAAAATACAGTTATTTCTCTTTTTGAATGTTATTCTGATATTATTCAGAGAATTTAGTCGACACAAAATTGTCGATAACTTCTGTCATATAAGTGGATAATAGAAAAGAAATGAGATGAGAAAAAAATGTGTAAATTCGACACGAGGGAATCTAAGCCGGGATTCATTAAATTGAAAATAGAGCAAAATGGCGTCCAAAGCAGCCAGCGCGAAACCGTTTCACGCTCTGACAATTTTGTAGTCTATATGCAGAATGAATCTAACCTATCTCGGATCTAATTGGTAGCAAGCGTTGTTTGTGATATTTACTATATTGTACGTAGCCCTTCTGTTATTACAATATATTGAAACGAAATTATATACTTCAAAAAAAATTGTACTTATCGAGTGCATAAAGTTTTTTATTGTTAAAATTGAAATACATTATTTTACATTTGATTAGTACTAGCATTAAATATGGTTAAAATGAGTGAATCACTAGTTTCTTTTTTTATTTTTCTTATTATATTATATATATATCTTAATGACTATAATCAGGCAATCATGTTAATATAGCTCCATAAGAATATTATGTTTGTAAAAGTAAACACATACTACTTTTAAATTTTTGTTAAAGATTATATTCCTTCATATGAATACAAATTTTAATTTAAGACATGTCACTTACTGTACCTAATTTATTTTTAATAAATAACCAAAACCATTTCACTAATGACTTTTATTTCCCGATTCCTTATCTCAAAAGCAAGTACTATTTTAAATATATAGAGGATAACAAAATAGCATGTAACCGTCGGTACAGAAGATTGTTAAATGAATTCTAATTAGCAAGCATTCCACAACAATAGAAAGTTAACTACTTACGTTTAAAGCAACTGTCCGTTTCGAGGGAGACATAAAAAATAAGGTAACAAGAATGTCCGTTAAAACAATGAGCCCTTCTAAGAGCCCCACTATCTCCCGCAGTAAAATTAACTATTCCAAGAATTGCACTGACTACCTGAGGTATTAGAACTACCGCGACTTTCAACTGAGGTACCGTTTGTTTTAAATACCTAGTAAGACTTAGTATACCTATTCCAAACCACAATTATGAAAAATATGGCCTTTAATCGATGTGTTGTACTATTTAATAATTTTTTATAAAACCATTCAAAAGCTAACAGTGGCCTCGCAACTGTGTTCACTGCTGCAAAAATGGCCAGGTCCAACCGGGAAGTACTACGACCTTACAGACTCGAGACCGGCGTGACGTGGAAGCATTTCGTCTTTTGAGTGAGGTAACCGAAGCCCACTTTATTAAAAACTTTGAAAGCCAATTTATTAAAATGCTTTGCCACATCAGCAACCCTAGGGGTGTAGCAAATGTCCATGGACGGTGGTTATCACTTACCATCAGGTGAACCACATCGCTTGCCATCTTCTTACATAAAAAAAATCTATGTAGATCTATAATATGTAAACGAAAATAATATTGTATACGAATTATGTAATTTCGTATCTCAGTTTCCTCGATACAGGCTTGCCTAGTAAACTAATGGAAATCATATTTATACTGAATGGTCGTCAGGAAAATACTTTACGTGTTATATTTATTTGTCATAACAACTGTGTTTTATTATTTTGCTGTAATAAATATTTTTAATTTTTTCATTCATTTTCATTTAATAATTTTTATAAAACCATTCAAAAGCAATTGGTTTGAATGTTTTAATTTTAAGGTATTATCTTTATTGAGTTTGTAAATGTGAGGATTTGGTGGCAAAATAAGTATCGAATATAACTTTAATAGTTTTCATATTCATAGGTGTGTAAGTAGTGTTTTATTTCTCGAATTAATAATATTATTTCACAAACAGACGCATATCTTTCATGTTAAAATTCTTGTGTTATATTTTAATAAACACTGACTTAGGAAAATAAGTACGATGTGTTTACATTCTCCGTATTCGTATTTAGCGAATACGAAACAAAATATTTATAATTAACCACAGTTATTCGTTACAACGAAGATACGGTTATTGTGACAATCACAATTCCTTGTTTTGAATCGATTAGTCCTTACTTTGCGGACAGTTTTAGACACAATCACAATTAACAAATTTACATCTGTCTAATGATTTTATTGCGATGGCTACCGTTATAAAGAGGTTTTCTTAACCAATAATCTTATATAACATTATCCTTAATTGATACAGAAACCGTTAAGTCAATCTTTGTTGATTATTCAGTTAATTCGCTTAAAAATATTTTCTACAAGCCTCATTAGTAAAGAGGTGACTTTTAATTTCAAATGGTTGTTTTATAGGTAAATGTATAGTTTTCTTTGTTAGTTGCTTGATTTTACAACGACCGTGTTAATATGATGATTGTCGAGATATTTGGAAACCGGACTTAAATTTTTCTGTATTATTTTTTTTATTAATTTATTTTATTATTAATATTTCTATATGCAAAACGTTTCAATGTTAAAAAAACGTAATGTTCCTCTTATGAAATTGTTTCTGTTTAAATAAAAAGATTTTTACCAACTTTGTGTTTGATACTTGTTTAAATTAAACAAAAATGTTACAGTTTTGAACACACTGTAATGTCTTTTTTATATAGTTACTTTGAATGCTGTTAGAAGTTCTTTAAGTATAGAGTGATTAAAAAGTTACTTTGATAAATTTTTATACCACATAAAAATTAAAAAATTATATAAATCACTCCCCTGCGGAGTCCAGCGTAGGATGTTAAACAACTAAAGCCGTCATGGAATGTTTAGGTAATTAAAAACCAAATAGAAATACGCTCATAACTCATAAAGAATGTTCATTCAATTTTCCTGGTCTTACACAACACTGTGACTGTATCAATTTATATAATTTGCTAAGACTTCAATAAAAACAATTTGTTTTACCGTCACATTGATAAAGTAACAAAATAATTTTTAATTTTTTCAAATACCTTAGATAATTTTTTATTTAATATTATTTTATTATTAATATTTCTATATGCAAAACGTTTCAATGTTAAAAAAACGTAATGTTCCTCTTATGAAATTGTTTCTGTTTAAATAAAAAGATTTTTTTACCAACTTTGTGTTGATACTTGTTTTTAAATTAAACAAAAATGTTACAGTTTTGAACACACTGTAATGTCTTTTTTATATAGTTACTTTGAATGCTGTTAGAAGTTCTTTAAGTATAGAGTGATTAAAAAGTTACTTTGATAAATTTTTATACCACATAAAAATTAAAAAATTATATAAATCACTCCCCTGCGGAGTCCAGCGTAGGATGTTAAACAACTAAAGCCGTCATGGAATGTTTAGGTAATTAAAAAACCAAATAGAAATACGCTCATAACTCATAAAGAATGTTCATTCAATTTTCCTGGTCTTACACAACACTGTGACTGTATCAATTTATATAATTTGCTAAGACTTCAATAAAAACAATTTGTTTTACCGTCACATTGATAAAGTAACAAAATAATTTTTAATTTTTTCAAATACCTTAGATAATTTTTTATTTAATATTATTTTCTCCTAGCCGTGGAGAGCCTGGCTGTCGTACGGGCCTTGAACTTTACTAGAACAGCTGAATAAATACGACCCAAGGCTGTTGTCAACGCATATGTTTTAGACCGTGTTGGACTAAGTGTTACATGTTATCGACAAATAGGATCATTGACAATGTCTTGAACTGAAATTTAAACGAGTGTTATCGCAAATGATCATATAGCTAGATATTAAAGGCCAAGGAGAACTTCTTAAAGGGAAGACTGGTGTTTACAAGGTGTTGAATGGCGACAGAAGAGTGTGTATTGTTTACAAGATGAGGTAAGGTCGTGGAGGTGCGACCGGCGCGGCGCACCGTCGGCAAACAGAATTGTGATTTGCATGAGGAGAGCGCGGCGCAACGCGAGGCGGACGCTCGGCTCGCTCGGCGCGCGATTAAAAATGCAGGCGGCGGCGGGCGGGAGCGGGAGGCGGGCGGGGCCGCGGCGGGCGGCGATTGGCGCGCGCGAGACGGGCGGTGCCGCGCGCGGGGGGACCGGCGGGCCGCAGCCGCCGCCGCCCGGCGCTCGGCCACCTCACAACGCACGTAGCCGCCGCGCAGCACGCACCTGCGACACGCTAACCGACGCGCTCCGCCGCGAGTCCATGTGAGCGACCGACAGACCTCTCGTTGTGCACGGTGAACGAAGGATCCGGCAAGCTGTACGCGCCGCAGGAAGACGACATGCTGACGATGGAGACGGACCTCAAGGGCGGCAGCCTGCACGCCACGGTGCCGCCGCACCACGCGCTCCAGCACGGCTACGGCTCGCTGGGCGCGCTCGGTGGCATGATGGCGCTGCCGCAGCAGCAGCCGCTCGGCCAGCACCAGCCGCTGCAGCACCAGCACCACCAGCCCCTGCCGCAGCACCACCCGCAGCCACAACAGCAGCACCATCAACCGCCGAACAACAATAACAACAACAACAGTAAGAACTCCAACACGGACCGCGTCAAGCGTCCGATGAACGCGTTCATGGTGTGGTCGCGAGGACAACGCAGGAAGATGGCCTCTGATAATCCCAAAATGCACAACTCAGAGATTTCGAAACGCCTCGGCGCGCAGTGGAAAGACCTCTCCGAATCGGAGAAGCGGCCGTTCATCGACGAGGCGAAGAGGCTTCGCGCCGTTCATATGAAGGAACACCCGGACTACAAATACAGGCCGCGGAGGAAGACGAAGACGTTGGCCAAGAAGCAGGAGAAATACCCGCTCGGTGGAGGGGCGCTGCTCGGTGCGGGCGACACGCAACGCGCCGCGGCTCCGGCGGCGCAGCAGCCCCGCGACGTGTACCAAATGACTCCCAATGGATACATGCCGAACGGATACATGATGCACGACCCCAGCGCCTACCAGCAGCAGGCGTACGGCTACCCGCGCTACGACGTGTCCCAGATGCAGCAGGGCGGCTACGGCGGCGGATACGGCTACGGCGGCGGGCAGGGCTCGCCATACCTGCCGCAGCCGCCGTCGCCGTCCGCGTACGGCCTCGGGCCCGGCTCCCCCGGCGGCTACGCGTTGCCGCCGTCGTGCGCGTCGCACTCGCCGAGCGGCTCGTCCGCCAAGTCGGAGCCGGTGTCGCCGGGCCCGCCGGGCATGAAGCGCGAGTTCGTGGCGCACGAGCCGCCCGCGCAGCTGAAGCGCGAGTTCGTGCCGCACGCCCACGCGCACGAGCAGCTCGCCATGAAGCGCGAGTACGGGCAGCAGGACCTGAGCCACATCATCAACATGTACCACGTGCCCGACGAGCAGCGGTACGCGGCCGCCGGCGAGCGCGCGATGCCCCTCATCTGAGAATCGCCCTTCGCGTGCGACATCGACATACCGCCGCTATGAGCCCGCCGTGTCGCCGCGCCCAACGCCGCCCCGTGTTGCCCACAGTGACTCTGTTCGAAATCGGTAGTCGCGTTAAGTCAGTGATCGTTATAACCCCTGCCGTACATACTTCTAGGTATGTTCAATTTATTTGTTTTAAAACGTACCGCTGTTAGTGTTGCGAGAACTGTTGACTTTTTTCGTGTGCCCCGGCGTAGCCGCGCCGGCGGCCGGGGCTCAATTAAATGTTGTTGATTATTACCTTGTATTATATTACGATTATTGTATTTTTTCCATGGTTTTAAGTTAAATATTCTAAGTTGTGTCGTGCGGACGGACGTGTGGGATTTGCGTGGTGTGTGATATTGAGAGTCAGACGATGTAGTGACCGAGGTAATTTGAATACCAAAAAAATTTTGAACAATATGTAAATATAGTGTTAATTGCTAGATTGGAAGTTAGCGTTAGCCCGTAAAGAGTAGGTAGATAGTGATAAGTTGTGCCACGACGCCACACTCGTACGCCCGTCGTGCATTGTACAAAATATTTGTTATGGAAACGATACGTTATGAAGCCACGAAAGACTTAAATATTGTAATACGAAAATGTACAGTGAGTGTTATATAGTCAGTGGACACAAAAGTATATTGAAGAAAGAGATGAAGTTATCAATAAACGACGCGTTAAAATTATACCTGCTTTTTTTCTATAACCCCAACACAACCCCGCTAACGGCCAGTTACAACATACATCGATGTCAACAGTTTTATCAACATATTATCCACATAACGCTTTGCAATTTACCACATTAAACAAAAAAAATCAGAAATACCCTCATATTATTCACTAACAAATTATATTTATAACACTAAATGTGCTTTTTTAATTTATGATGCTTTTTTATCTGAATTATCTTTGATAGGTTGAATCCTCATTTAAACTCTAAACTCACCGTAGAAAAGACATCAACGATAGAAATGCAAAAAGAATTAGTAAACGGTAATTTGTAAAAAAATTGTCATTTTAATTTTATATTTTGTGGTAAATAGGACGTGCTAGTTTCAAAGATTATTTACATTAAATAATTCACAGTAATTACTATATCATGCGTGCATTTAAGAGAATACAATGCATTATTGTGTTAGTTAAATTAATGGCCTAATCCTAAAACTAATAAGATACATAAATGAATGAAAGTTCAGTTGGAAAAAATAGAAAATTATTGCAGTGACAATTCAAGAGCTGAAATGATAATGATAAAGCTAAAATAAATCTTAATTTACTGATTGTGGCGATGTATCCTTTCAGTGATTTAATTACTAACAATTAAGAATTTCTTAATAATTAAAGAATTTATAGAAAATATTAATCATTTATTCTTATTTTTTTTTTAAATACAATATTCTGAAATGAGGATATAATATGAACTCATGCCTAAAATAAACCAATATCTTATTCGAGGCAAATTTCAACAATCATAAATTGTAGCTATGAGATCGGATGTAAGGAGGAAACTTAACAGGAACCTCGAAAAGCTCGTGGCTCTGTACGCGATAGTCCAAGGGAATTGCGACGGGGAAAGTCGAATTTCAATCAATTGCTGTCAACACGCAAGGGGTGAGACGGGATTTATTAATTCCCCGCACCCCGCCGGTCGTGCTGGGGCACTATTTCCCCCGAGACGAGAACTAACTGAATCCCCGCAGAAGTACGCCCCAGTGTTTAAGCGGTATTAACTCTAACCCCGTTCGCACTTGGCAGTTGGCAGTTTGGCACTCGCCGACGCTCCGTCTCATCATTGAGTGGGAAACAGTCATTACAGTATGGACGGGATATGTTGATTGTTAGGGTTCCGTACCTAACCTATTACTAAGACTCCACTGTCTGTCTGTCCACCTGGCACCAGGCTGTACCTCATGAAACTTGAAAGTTAGACAGTAAAAAGTAGAAATTTTACACAGATGATTTTGCCGCTATAACAACAAATACTAAAAAACAGGATAAAAAATATTTAAGTGGGGCTCCCATACAACAGACATGATTTTTTGTCGTTTTTATGATGGTATGGAACCCTTCGTGAGCGGGTCCGACTCGCACTTGACCGTAAATTTTTTTCATAGTAAAAATGTTAATTTAATTTCGAAGTCTTGCAGCTATTGAAATATATAATAAACAGGCAATACATTGTATATATAACAAAGTCTCGTAAATCGTTATTGACATCGATAATAATGATATTTGTTTAATAGCAATAAAATGGGATATACAAAATATGTAAAAACTTCAAAGTGCATTGCGTTATTCATCACAGTAGACGATGTATGCATCGCGAGCACCAAAACAATCGAAATTTCAATATTTAAATTTAAACATTACGATAATTTTGAGAGTCGAAGGCAAATGAATACTATTTACAGTATTCATTTGCCTGAATACTAAAATAATAATTGATTATATACAAAACTTAAATTCATTTGTTTCGACATAAAAACGTTCAAGACAAAATAATAATTAAAAACTTATTTACGTTCAGATTATATAAAAAAGGAACAAAACAGACGTAACATAAGAAGAAAACACGGATAAACTGTATTGGTTATTACATAATACAATCGTAAGGGCTAAACATGAATATTACAATAGTAAACCAATCTAAGCAAACAATAGGAAAAACTTTTTCCAGGCGGCATAACACAAATGTGACGCAAACGAATTCTATAAATAAAACAATCCTGTTACCGCTTAGCGCTTGTCGGCGCGGAGTCGCGTAATGAAATTTCCCTCAGCAAATACCGCGTGCGTACCGTTGGCCGCGATCGGCAATTCGGTATGCAGGTCATAAATGAATTAACGACGCCGACGTGGGTTCCGGATGTGGCGCGGCGTCGGCCGGCACCCCAGCGTTCCGCGGCGTGGCTCGGTCGCGACCCGGGACTCGGCTGGGGTGCAATCACGCCGTTCCCACGGGCCCGCCGCTTTGTTTTCTCTCACGGTTCGCGACATGTCATTGCGGCGATGGCGACGCGACGGGCGCACTCTGAGCGGGCGACGCTCTAGTGCCAGCACGTTGACGGTTCCCCGGTTGAGACAATGGGGTAATGTGCGACTTTCTGTTTCGATCTCATTTTATTTGCGAGCACGTTTGAAACGTCGTTCGTAGAACGCAGGCGGCTGCGAGTCAAGAGTGAATAGGTTTTTACTGAGCGCTTACCATCAAAGGCTGCATGGCCATTTACCATCAGGCACTCAAGTGCAGGCCAGTTTTGGATTTTTTTTTTAAAATCCTGGTGAATGTTAAATTGCGTAGGAACACACTAAGCGGTTGCCTAGATCTTGAATTTTGTATAATGACGAGAAATTTGAAACATTTACAGTGTTAAAGGTTGACATCTATAATAATATAAAAATAATCATCTTACCCAATCTTATTTCGTAGTTAATTTAGACCTCCTGAGCGGATAATGACACTAATTTTCGTTCAGCGAACAATAAATTGTAAAACTTATATTTAGCATGAAATGATGGTATATCGATTATTGGGAAAATATTGAAAATCCATACAAATCACCAGTTGGGTCGTAAGCGGTTGCAAGAACGACGTCTTTCCAACGTGACGCAATCTAATTCTCCCAAACTCCCAGGCAGCGGGACAATGCAAACAGGCGGTGCAAACAAACAAACTAAACTTGTCACGTAATTCGTTCGTCAAACACGCGTCATATTTGTTCTTGGATTTGACACCGGCCCGCCCCCTGCGTTCGGTGCCCTTTGTTTCTGTGCAGCACTTTGTCAATATTTAGCGTCGTTTACCGTCAGGCGGTTTCAAACGATTCGTCGACGCCTGGGATCGGCGAAAAGTGGGTGGCGCCGCGTGGGATTCACCCGAACGCATGTCGCCCGTCAACGTGTGATACATAAACATGAGCCGGTATCTTACACCAGCGATCTTTGGTTACAGTATAAGTAATGAAAAACGTTCACCCATAAGAGTAATACAGTTCACCTATAGTTGCTGTTTTGGCGTGTAGCCCGCTTTTTTGCCGATTACGCATACGAAAAACACTAATCTTCGGAAAACGAATAATCGAAGCAGTTGTTCCTTATTACAGTAATCAAACGTCGAGTGTTTAATACAAACGAGTTACACTTCGCAGACTCGGTTCTCAGTCCAGTGACCATTTGTACGCACTAATTATTTTTTCGATCTATGTCTTTAATTAACGTATTTTTTATGGCAAACTAATAAGTGATGAGATATTAATACAATCACAAAGCATTAAAATATGCAATGCGCGTGTGCCGGCCCATAAAAGCTACCAGAAAGTTTTTGAGAAATAAATTTAGTTAAAATATTTCTGAATATACTCATCTATATGTAGATAAACGGATGAAAACGGATAATTATCTTAAGTTTTAAAATGCTATCCGTCGATTAGTTAAGAACATTGATATTCATATAATAACTGTCCAATAGCACTGAAAACACTTAAGGAGAAAACTGCACAGTTTAAATTATATTTAAAACAGAACCAAAACATTGCAATGGTGATTTCGTAACCACGCTGGCGTAATTATTCCTTGGTCCGCGGGTACCAACACTATTTCAATTATACATTATTCGGCCGCTACAATTTTCACCGGTAACGGATAAAGTCTATTAAGAGCAAAGCTCAATGTATTTATAAACGTTACATCTATTTCGCGACCGTTACATAAATACGTCATCGATTTTACTTCGAAACTTTCCTTAACTTTGTTACCGAGTTTTTGTAACTTCGAAGCGGAACAGCGCCAATCGAATCACATTGTTTTTTTTTTTAGTTCCATTAATCTCATAATGGCGTCCAAAAGTTCATTTAAAAATGTATGTCCACATTACAGCGAGCGAGATACAAGGTTTTATACCATATGTTTATGACCACCCCAATGGTTCGAAAAAAAAATACGAAGCCTTGGCCACTCCGAAGCGGTGCACGGTGTAGCAATGTCCGAGGCGGGCGCGGCAAAAAGTTTAAATGGAATTTTAGCTTTAGTTTAGTGCGCATGACCTTCTTGGAATCGTTAGTTGCCGTAACGGTACTTAGGCCGCGTCTCCTTCAGGTACGCTGTGCGCTCGCAAGCTATTACCACGCCACGTTAAGTGGGAAACTTTTTAGGGTGTTAGAAATTACATAATATATACGTCCGTCTTGCTGGAGCAACTTTTGCGACGTGTAAATGCTCCGCAAAAAGTTTTCGTGGTGGATTTCTTCGATTCAATGTTTTTATTTCGTTTCTATTTTATTCGTTTTGGACAAGAAATGTAAAATAAATGAAGCTTTAATATGACGTTGCTAATCAATACAAAGCTACAGTTTATTGGAATATTATTACAGGCAATAAGTCAATAATTTTTACACATTTTACGATCCTTAAAGTAACTGTGTTTTTCATATTTATGTTTAAAGGAAGGATAACCCGAAATAAGCTTACGTAAAATGTAACGCACCATACGTAATATATTATTAAACTTCCAAGCATATACTTTAATTACAAAACTCAACTTGTTTGTAAATTAAATATTTTAGTCTAGATATATCTAATATTTTTATACAATATAAATGTATTACACTTACTTATTGATTGTCAAAAACCACTAACCACTACTACCAGTTTAGAAAAAAAACACTGACCTGAGAATATGCAACTATTATACTATACATTCTGTCAAGACCATTTCTTGTTATTCGATTAGAACTTACTCGAATCGGAAGTATTAGACAAAGAAATTTAAGCTGTTTTATGGCATTCAATCACCTTAAAGATCACCATTAAGAATAAAAAACATACGAACCATTTTTAAATTTAAAATAAGTTTTTATTAAAAATTATGTCACATTTCGATTTTATTACAGTTTCAGATATTACTAGTACGTGATCTTTCTGTTCTATGCGACATTGTAATTAGATTAAAAAAAAAACGTACAATACAGTGCCAAAGATTAGAACTACAAAGAATTGTGATACATTTTATTAACGAAATACCCTAAAGCCTAAAATAAATACAGTGGTAGCCGCTCCGAAAAAAAGTTGGGCAATAAAAATGTTTGGAAAGTTTTATGACCGCAAAGGGTTACAGGCTACGGGCATTTGTTGGAGGCAATCATAAAACAATTAACTGCACTGCACCGCGACTGTTGTAAATGTACCGCCAGTGTTGTCTATAGCCTATGTAACGGTTTTCAATCGTAAATATTTATCTTGATAAATTCTATTGTATCGACATCGCCTTCTATATGAATTGCAACTGAAACAAACAATTTAAGCTTATTTCAAAATTAAATCCATTTCTACAAATATATGCATACTATAGTGCAACTTTTCTAAGTGTATCCATTTTTTTATTAATCTCTGGACATAAATAATGTTACTTATATAAAAAATGATAAATATTTAAAATCTCTCTTAAGTCATTAATTACATTAATTTGAACTTATCTCAAAAGTGCGTGATTTATTCGCAACTCATCTATTTTACTCGCGATCATTCATAACTAACACGCACACAAGTTCGTGCACAATAAAATTTAGGTATTTATGAATGCCTACCGCATTGTCAACACGTTCTGTTTTTTAGGGAATAGAATGGCATTTTTTTGGAAAAAATACTTTGTTTTTTATTTCAATAAACGATTATACTACCGAGTCTGAATTTCCTGTGTAAATTTGGGCACTTCTTATAAAATCTCCCTGTATATTCTTAATAAGACTTTCTTACTGATTTATTCCTATTAATTTTTCAAAAGTGAACTAAAGCTAGATGAAAGAGTATTACGTTACGACAAAACACGTAAGTCTGTCCTATCATCAATGTTAAATAACTATCATCATGACAGTAATACAAAACTATAGAAAACCCAAAACCAAAACCATAAAATATGTTATCTCTTATATTTTGCGAATTTTACCCATTGTTTGCAAAACTTTTTTATTTTTGTCTGAAGTTTTTCAGTTTATACACTATAAAATCCGTAAAGCAACTACTATACAAAATACTTTTATAATATTCGGTGTGATTGCTGAAGACAATCTCAGCTCAATACATTTTCGAAGTACTTGCGGTTGAGTAGTACGTAACCAAGAACTATATAAAGTAGGAACGTGTAATCGATTAGATTGTTTTTTCATTGTAATATTCATTAAAATGTATTTTAATATCTAGGCTACAGTCTTCTTAAAGTTCATAGATAAATATATTTGAAGAACCAGAAAATAATGTATTCATTCAAACTTAATTAAGAGTAAAATTTGGGGTAATGTGTTAAAAAGTGTTTGTTAAAATTCATTGTTATTGAATATGTTTTTCCATGTTAAATTAAGATTTAAAGATTACTTATAACATTTGTTCGTATTTTTTACATTAATATTGCATTAATTAATATTATATTTACCTCATCTTTTAAAACAGTATTCTTAAAAGTAAATATTTTTATAAGTATGTACCATCAATTAAGATTGTTGTAAATATAGAGAAATCTTTGCAACATAGTTTAAATTGCAATTGCAAATTTATTTCGTAGGAATTATATAAAAATATAAGTCTCCTCAATTAATTGAACCTGACGGCAATATTAGGAATGCCAACAAAATTTCATTATGTTCTCGAAATTTTGTTCACTCGATGTAAAAATGGTTCTAGTAGAATTGCAAAAAATAATACCTTTTGTGACTTAAATCGTTTAGACGTTGAAAACATTCTGATAAGCTTTCATGTAAAAAGAATATCTTATCGGCGGTGGCACCAGTGACTTCATTCCTATACTATGAATATCTTACTCGGTGTACCCAAATTAATCACTTAAGTTAGCTATGCGAAAACTTCATACTTACGTGTAACACTATTTATGTCATAGAAAATATTTATAAAGAGCAAAGACTCCACTGTGTAGAGTCCATTGTTGTTTCCGAGGATTTCTTTATTTATTAATTAATAAATGTTTTAAAATATATAAATGATTTTTTTATGAAGTTAAACTATGCAAGTTAACGTTTTATTTCTCTTATTTTCTTCGTATC